GATGATCCCCATAGGAGTTACATATCAGCAGGCTACTGCAAACATAGGAGGAATATATAAAGATCTAAATAGGGTTAAAATGGGCAGGCACATAGCTCAGCTGGCCACACAAACTGGCCTGGTGCAAGCCAGGACTAGGGGTTCAGCTGGCAACTATTTTAGTGCCAGTTTCCATCATGTAGGCACGTCCTGTAAGTAAAGAAGGGGAAACATGAGGAAAGGTGAGAAATGGGCAGAGTTTGTAAGGGACAGCAAAGGAAGATGGTGCCAGCCTCGTGGCTTGGGATTCTAAGGTACCACCTCAAGAAGACAGGCAGAGAGGAACAGCCCTTGAGAGAATGGTTGGATGCATGAAAGGCCAACCCAGCCCCAATCCTGAAGCCAAAGATAGTGCAAGAGCAGTGTGAGCTCCTCCACCACAATACAAAGTGTCTTCCTCACAGTTGCAAACAAGCTAAGAAGCATGTAAAGCAGCTTCACCAGGAGACCAGTGTCCCTCTTTCATTGACTCCTGGGCTGAAAACGACTTCTTTCCCTTTTTCACAAAGTCCTCCATTGTTCATCCTGTTCTGGTTGGCCAAGATTTTGAAGTTTGGGGCTGATCCTGAAGGACAGCAGAGTTTCAGTGCAGCCTGAAGTTGCTGGCTTCTTGTGTTCCTGTTGCCCCTATTTTGTGTTGCTGAGTCAGATTTAGACAGGTTTCATGGACCATAACGCTGCTACAACCACATGCACACAAACCTTCTTCCAGGATATGGCAATGGAGCTGAGCAATTGCATTGTCACGAGCTTGTGCCGGAGCAAACCCTGGTGAGAGCAGTTCTCATGCTTTATTTTTACTTTATTACTCATGTTACTGCCTAAACAACTCCTGGGGTTGGTTTTTGCTAATAGGGATATTCCAAAGGCTTATTAAACATTTTCAAACCATTGACTCAAAGTATACCAAGTGCAGGTGTCCCTGCTCATGCCAGGGGGGTTGGAACTAGACAATCTCAAGGTCCTTTCCAACTCAAACCATTCTATGATTCTATGAAAATTCAACATGGGAATCTAAATGCTTTTGTCTTGCACAGGGCTAAGAGGAACACATGGCTTTGATATGTCCTGAAATTGCTGCTGGAGTTCTGTCAGAGCTGACAGTTGTGAAATGACCTTTCATAAAAGCACTGCAGAAAATAAAAGCAGTGAGTGAGGTGGAGTCCACAGGGACCAACCACACAGCCAGGGTCCAGCCCAATTCCTACAACAGGGAAATACAAGAGTATTTTACTTGAAGCTGGGTTGGGAGTCAGAGCAAGAATTTTAAATCTCAGTAGGATTAAGATATCAGCCAGCCAAAAACTCATAGTTGAGCATTTCTGCAAAGGAGATCAGGCTGCCCAACACAGGCTTTCTAACATCTTTGCCAATTTTTTCAATGCTCCTAAATGTCTTGCAAGTCTAAGCCCCATCTACAGAAGGTTTTGAGACACCAGGCAGTCAGTCAGACCTAATTCCCAAACAGCAAAATCTCTTTTGAGGGATTTGCTGAATGACTGGGCTCACCTCCTGGTGAGTGCTCAACCTGACACACCTCAAGGCTGAACTCATTTTCGGGCAGTTTTGAACACCTCCTTCTTAATCAAGTTCTTATAAATGGCCTCAAGCTGAGCAGCCCAAATCTATAACGTTCAAACTGATAAACCATTCATGGCTTGCACAGATCTTGCCCTTACTCACACAGACCACTTGAGGTTTTGAAAACACCACTTCTCCAGTTTAAATGATGGGGTGGGATCCATGCAAGCCACTCCACACACCTAATTTGCAATTAAATGAGCCACACAAGGTGCCTCACCTTAGCCCAATTTAGGTGCTATCTAAAAGTTGGGCGTCTAATCCCAGCTCATCACCTAGACTCCCTCCACAAGAAATGGAGAGAGAGGTTAAGAGTAGTAAGTAGATAAGAAAATGGAGGACCTTTTCAGTATAAGAAGCTGAATTATCAGACCTCCTCTTCAGTGAGTAAACATTTAGACTGGCATCTTAACAAAAGTGGCTCAACTAATTGTGTTAAATTAGCCTAACCATCACCACAGGACCAAAATCTCTGACGAAACTCCTGAAGGAATAAAATCTCTGAACTGTTGATAGTAATTTAATCTGTAAGGCAGAGTTTCAAAAGCTAATGTGCTAATGAACTACTGGTTATGCACTTTATAGATATATTCTAATTTGATAAGTAATAATTTTGTCTTCAGAAAGTGATATTTATTAAGAAGTTTAATTATAATTACACCCTCCCTTACTCAGTGAATTTCTGAACCACATAAACAGGAATGTGGTGACTTGGGTACCACTTTTCTTTGGAGGTGAAAGCAAGAAGAGTTTAGTTAAAATCTGAAATACAGAGTTGAAAGTATATCCTGTTTAGGGAAATCAGATAGAAATGACAGGAGGGTTTACACACTTGCAAATACTTGGTCAGCAGACATGAGTTAAGATCAGGACAAGCAAAGAAGCTTGTCCAGCACTTTGCATAGTTGGATCTGACTGGATCCATTTGTGGAGATGAAGTATAAATAGTAGCAGATACTAATGACTTCTTAACAGAGCCCTGGGTGCGTTTGACATGTGATACGTGCCTGCTTTTTTCCAAGTCATGGAATCATAGAGTAGTTAGGGTTGGACAGCACCTTAAGTCATTTAAAAGCAAAGTGGTTAAATTGACAAAAATAATTAATTCCTCATGAAATCCTAGAAAATGTGTGTAAAGAAAAGCGCCAGGAAATGCGTTGTAAGTGATGGATCCCTGAGTGATACTTCCACCCTACGTAAAATGGCTTGGGAAAAAACCACACAAAGGTAGCAGACAGGACACTGCATGGTCCAGCACTGTGGCATGTGCTCCCATCCAGATGAGGACACGTGTTCATGTTGTGCCGTTAGGAGGAAGGACTCTTACATTTATTTGGGGCATTAGGCAGGTGCTGCAAATTGGAGTGATGCTAGAAGGCATGAAAGCTTTTGGATGTGGACAAACTGCAGACCATGTATGCAGAAGCCATATCACCAGGGACCACATCTCTGGGCATCACCACAGTGACCGACAACAAAAATCTTCTGCGTTTGGAAAATGTTGTCTGGGCAACCAATTATATATATTAATAAATAAATAAATAATAAAGGCAGCACTAAAGAGGAACTGTCTCCTGTGCAAAAAAGAAATAGAACAAATATTTACAGAGGTTTCCTTTGTGAAAGAGGGGAAAAACTCTCGTCAGCACTTCAGAAATAAGCATGCGTGACCTCTTGAACCACGGCGGACAAAATCCTGTGTTCAGTAAGGTAACAACAGGCCTGGAGGCACTTGTGTAGCTATCAGCGACCAGACCATGAGTAATGGGAGCTCTCAAACCTCTCTCAAAGCACTACAATTTGTGTCACATGCTCTGAGAGCTTCGTCTCCAAAATAGCAAGTTTTCTTATGTAAATGGCTATGCAGAGGGACCACATGAGCTCAGGCAGTGCCCAAGCAGAGTCACGCTCCCTCATTTTCATCAGCAGATACCATCTGAGCTTCCCTGTGTCTGCAGACTTGTTCTAGTCAGTGCCCATTTCAGAACAAAATAAAATGTGTTAATTAAAGACAGAAAAGCTGAGAGCTAAAATTATGAAAACTGCTGCCTCAGCTCAATTTCTTCTAGTGCTTTGGAAGAAGCTTTCCAGTCTGGTGTGATTACACAAGGCTTTACAGAGTGCATCCTGACTCACACGGCTTAAAATAAAATGATGGGCTGATGGCTTCATAGAATGGGAAACCAGAGAAAACTGTTCCTTTTCCTGATGTTATAGAATGTGTCTGTGCAGTGTGAAGATAATGCCCAGAAAAAGGTATTCCTGGGACAAATTTGGATCGCTGTGTCATAACTACACAACCTTTTTGAGTTCTCGTGCCATGGTACCATCAGAGCTATGAAAACAGGTGAGGTGGCAGCTGAAAAGCAAAAGGAGTCTCTGACTGCTGGAAAACATTGTTTTTCCTGCTGGAAATACATGAGACAGATCTATCCCTGGGGAAGCCACTGTAATTTTAGTTTCATACATTCCATGGATACCCCAGAGATTCGTTTTACTGTCTCAGCTGACTAGCTCGGTATCGTAGGAGACACAGGCTTTCTGGATGTCTTGTGCCCAAAGTGAGCCTTTTAAATAGTGTTTGCTCAAACAGACCCTTCTCATATTCATTTACTTGAACTTTTTAAAAGGATGCTGGTAAACACACTGCTAATCAGTAGCCTGGTACAGTTACTGCTGAACACATGAAAGAGCAAAGAATAAATGTTAGGACATAAACCATGTCTGAATAAACTGAAAGAGGATAGATCTGGGTTAGATATCAGGAAGAAATTCTTCCCTGTGAGGGTGCTGAGGCGCTGGCACAGGGTGCCCAGAGAAGCTGTGGCTGCCCCATCCCTGGCAGTGTTCAAGGCCAGGTTGGACACAGGGGCTTGAAGCAACCTGCTCTAGTGGAAGGTGTCCCTGCCCGTGGCAGGGGTTGGAGCTGGATGGTCCAAAACATTCTATGGTTCTACGAAATACAGCTCTTAAATTTTAATTTCTTCTATCAGGGGAATCCGGAAAATGCTATCCTTTATGATTAAAATAATATCTACATTAGGTAAAGCTTCTTGGTCTTAAAGGTGCTTGCAGAATCAATACATTTGAGGTTATTCTTCATGTGTCCTGATTTAGCTACAGGTAGTGCCTTTGAGAAGATGCATTCTGCAATGGATAAAAATCGTGGAAGTCAACCCCAGAAACCCAGAGCAGGATTGAGACCCTAAGGAGAAAAGCACACAAGACAGAACACCAGCAACTTTTGATATCTAATGAACATCTGTAAAAGCTCGTTTGCATTATGTAGTGGCACTAGAAAACAAGTATTACTTCCTTTTCACTATGTGTCTGTACGGCAGCTGGGAGGAGTGGACAGACAATATAACCAAACCTCTTACCAACATAGCCAGGAGTCCCGCAGGCTGTGGACATCACATCTCCTTTACCCTCCATCTTTGACAGTCCAAAGTCACTGATCATGATTTTTGACTCTTCATCCTGGCTATAGTAAAGCAGGTTCTCGGGCTAGAAAAGAGAACAAGTAAAATGGGTTTTGAATATGTACATTCAGTAACAACATCTGTTGGCTTATGTGTTGCATTTAATAGAATCCTTAGTTACATCATACACTAACATAAATTGGTTCCCCTAAATCCTATAGACCTGCTCTTACAACTTATATGGAGATTCTCTTAAGACTTCTGTATGGCAACAAATGGAAGAAGCTGATTCCTTGGGCTTTGAGTAACTTTCCTGTGATAACAAATTTCACCTTTGGCATGTCAAGTAAGAACTAAGTTTTGTGCTTTACTTGTGAGGTGTCTGACATATTATTGTTTCATAATGATAAAACAGGATTCATTTGAAAGCAGGTAAATACAGTAAATCCAAGTAGTGTAATTAAATTGGTTTATACAGCACTTAAAAAAAAAGGAGAAGGAAAACACTAGGTATTAAAGAATACTTTTACCTTCTCCACTGGAAATAAACTGCTACGAGAGAGGAAATGCCTTTACAGTTAACAGACTTACAGCAAAGATGTTTTAGCTAAAGCCAATTAGGAAAAAATGCTACAGCACCAAGTACAGTAACTTGTTTATGCTGAGAGAAAACAAGACTCACGCCACAAAGCCCTGTGACTTTATACCAGTGTCAGGCAGGTTGGAGAGCCCAACCAGCCTCCATTTGCAACACCATAGTCCTCCATCTGTAATGCTACTGCTACACTAGGTGTTGTGAGAGCACACTTCTCCTACTTAATATCCAGGCTCACAAAAAGGGCCAGCATCTGTGGCACTCTGACAGCCTGGTGTTAACGGGGTGCCATTGCATCGCTCAGACCTTGGGGTCTTCATCATCGAAGTGATGGATACCCAATGTTTCAACATAACCCTGGTGTAGAATTTTGCCCAGAAGCTGGTAAAAATGCATACTGGCATGCAACACATTTTGTCTAGCAGCCTGCTGTGTGCTCCAGCTGCAGTCATACAGCATCATCAACTCCTTGGGACACATCCAAGCTTGGATTTGTAAGGAGGAACAATGGCAGTGCAACAGCACCAGCATCTGTCTTCCCTCCTCTATCGCCACAACCTCCTGCTCTGTGAAAAGGGGAAACAAAGAAGTGCTGGGGTTGACATTGCCCCTATTCTACTCTGAGGTTCCCGTTCAGCTTCAAGTGGAGGTTAAAGCACTCTCTGGCTCCCCAGCCCCTGCATGATGAACCCACGTAGTGATGGCTTTATCCATGGGACACAATGGCCATGAGAGGACCTGCACCCACAGCTGTGAGCTAGCTGGGACTGAGGATAACAGGGAAACAATCCTGTTCATAAAAATAATTATGAAGTTCTACCATTTATGTTTCTTTTTCATGATACCTCCTAAGTTCAGTGCTTTAACTGGCTCTTATAATGCTGACACTTTTTTCAGGCACCACATGAATCAGTTTTATTCCATTGTCTGCCTTTGGTTGAAGTTACTCCTGACTTATGCTAGTGCATTTCTGACCTGCTGAGGGGTTGGTGGAGCTGGTGTTAAGGGAAAGACAATTAGTTCCCAACAATTTTTGCTAACTCACCTCAGGTTCCCACCTATTCATATATAGTAAGGCTAAGAAACCTACCCATTAAAAATCTGTTTAAAACTACTTTAAAAACCCTCTGGTCCTTCCAGCTCGTTAATTCAAACAGCATTAATGAAGTGGCTCTGTACCAAGAGGAGCTGCTTGAACCTTTCAGTCATTTTGTACATCCTGCACTTCCCTGGACCTCAACTGCTTCCATCTCTTGTTATCTGCTGCTGTGTTACTTAGATTAGAGACTTGGGAGCCCAGATCTGCTCTTCCCAGCTACAGCAAGTACTATTCTGGTATCTGAATAACACATAATTACAATAAATAATTGTTACAGATGTTTCATGGGTTGTATTTTTATAGAGTGGATTCTTTCCCAGAATTTCATTTTAGGGATCACGATTTGAAACTTATGCTTATCTTGGTATTTTTTCCCTATTTTTGCCATCACAGTATGTTTGTGCTAACAGAAATTCTCCGCAGGTGTTCCTCATATACCATATTTTATGAGCCATTTTAAGAACTGATAAGATACTGACAAAGACTTGAGAACAAAAGAAAGAGAGAGAACAAAAGCTAGTCTTTGCCCCAAAATATCCCTGGAGAAGGTTGGTTTGATCTAAATTCAGCATGTCCTTACATAAATTCTGAAAGTAATTTGTGGATAAGTCCATTTCCCAATTACCAGACCTCATATTTTATTATAGGAACTTTTTAGTAAGATTAATCTGTTTTAAAGTGAGAGCTACAGCTTCCCTCTAAATTACAAAAGTAGGAATGCTATTAAGAGCTTGTACAACAGAATATCTGAAGGCCACAGTGTCAACATCCAAGGAAATTCTTGTTTGGAACATCCCTCCATAACACAACTAGAGGTTATTTCATTCACTGAATTGTTCATTTCTGGCAGTAAATCTTGGTAGAATTAAACAGCTCAGGAACTGAACCCACAGTTTTTGTCTGACATTTGTATCTTTTTCTAATGTCTTCTGCTAATTTATCATTTAAGATACTAAAGATGGGGAGGCTTAGCTGTGTGTTGTGAAATCCGAGCCTTTTTGTTTATCTTAATGACAATTTAAGAAAGAAACAATACAGAAATAATGTTTTTATTTGGGTTGGGTTTTTTTGATGTGATAACATGGTACAGCTGAAAGGAAAATTATCTAAAAATCGCATTGACACACACTGTTCCTTAGAAGAATCCTTGCTGTTAACAGTGTCTTCAAAAACACTGGTGTCCAAATAGCACAATAGGAAATTATTCAACTTTCCCACACTGCTTATTGTTACTAATTATTTTTAAGTAAAAGTAAATATAGCCCAGCAGATCTGCAAGATATTTTACAGCAGTAAACACATCCCAGCTGAGTTTCCTTGCCTTAATGTAACATCGCAAGTCTTAATGAATGACTTCTTCCCCACACCCATCTGTGCAGAACTCCCATTGTAACAGCATTGATTGCAAAGTCCTCATTAAAACCAATTACATGGGGAGGCTTCAGAGCATCCCTCTTACTGCAAAACCTTCCTGAAACAGCCAGTCCCAGGGGAGGCTGGACTTAATGTCTTAGACTCATGTAATTATACAACCTTCATCAACACTTCCCGGAGGACTGAGTCATGCTGTGGTCTTACCTTGAGGTCCCTGTGCACAATGCCCATTCGGTGCAGGTAGTAGACAGCATCCAGGACCTGCCGGATCAGGGTGCTGGCATCCTTCTCAGTGTAGAACCCTTTCTCGACAATGCGGTCAAAAAGCTCACCCCCAGACACTCTGGAAAACATGATGGGATGCAGAAGGGTGAGGATATGCTTTGCCATGTGCTTTCTACCTTGCCAAAGGGTGGTCAAGGCCATGCACTGGCTACAGGTAGCCTGAGCACACATCTGTCTGGAGCTCTGGGTGCTCCCCACTGTCCCAACAAGCATTTGGTTTTGGTTTTCTGATGGTCCAAGGACTGGTCACGCTATAATGGAAAATAAAATCCACTGCACACCAGAGAGTGGTCAAAGACTCACTAGCACTTGAAGAGGGAAATCACAACTCTATCCTAGCAAGAGCCAGTGGAGCACACACTCGTTCCTACACTGTATAGGTGAATTTAGTCTGCCCTTCCCACTGGTGCTGGCCCATGGAGGTTGTAAGGCTCCCTACTTGTATGATCCCTTGGGGTTCACTTTTCACTCCAGCGATCAAGGCTTGGGTTTTGTCCTGGAGAAAGGCCAGGCTGGATGGGGCTTGGAGCAACCTGGTCTAGTTAAAGATGTCCCTGCTCATTGCAGGAGGGTTGGAACTGGATAAGCTTTAAAGTCCCTTCCAACCCAAACCATTCTATGATTCTCCTTTTCCCCTTTTCACTGGTGAATGAAATGCATACAGTAGTTGCTGCCAGTACCTACAGAGCATTAGTTTATTAAAGGATTCTGCTTCTCTGGCAATTTTAAATGCTCTCAGAGGTGCCCTCCCTTTACTCTTACAACTATGTTCATTTATCAGCAGCCACAAACTCTTTAGGCAGAGCACAGCCTCTGCCCGGCACCGGTAACAGACAGTTATTGATGAGGGAGTGCAGATTATCAGTGCAATTAATCACCAGATGACACAAATGGGGAAAGGATTCCACAAGTCAAAAGAGGAAAGAAAATAAAACCTTGGCATCCCACTATTTAATGTCTGCTATATTACACTTTTCCTCTGCCCTGCTAGAAACAACACATTCTAAACCCAATCTTAAATAAAGAATGGACACATTAAAACTCCCTGGAGGAGTATCTGGGGAAACAAAAGAGGAAAGAAATGTCTGAGTAATTGAAATAATAAAACTGTCAGCAAAAACCTGCCCTACTAGGATAAATAAAAGATTTCCATTTTAACAAGCAAAACCTATTAAAAAATAAAACGTATGTGATACGGTTTTTTTCCAGCAATTGCACCAGTTAGCATATCATAAATAGCACAGTAAAACTTTCTTTAAAAACAAACCTCATAAAGGGAAAATAATAAATGATTACAGTCATTAAATACATATGGACTGGGACCTTGCAATTATATGAACACTGGGTAATTCAGCTACTCCAAGAAATAATCTGCTTGAATAATGACATGAAGTCACTTCCTAGGGAAGTTTGGAGCCTGAATGGCAGAGAAGGCTACAGCTGAAAATGAACACATTCAACTTTGAAAATTAAAAACAACCTTGCAAGAAGAAATAATAAACCAGATAATCCTCCTATTAAGTGCTAGGCAAACAAACCAAACAGCTTGCTGAAATATTGGCATTAAATTGAATTTCTGCAGTAAAGGCAAGTTCAGTCAGGGTCTGAAGTCCACCCAGGAGACCCCAGGCCATACCAGCAGCTCTTAGGGATTGCTTTTTGCTGCTGGCAGAGAGAGGCTGGAGCAGAACCAGCGGGATGATAGTGGGGCAAGAGAAAGCCCCTGGTACCATGTTGAACTGGAGAGCCTGTGACTTATGGCACAGTGGGGAAGGAAGCATGGCAGGTAGAAGCTACACAGGCAGAAGTTCCATCACATAACAACCTGCTCCGAGATGAACATTGCACAGAAAAACTTGAATTAGAACCCTTTATTCCCTAGCTTCTCACAACAGGAGTTGTATTTCTCACAGGTATGTATATACACAGGGTATTCCTCCAAGCCCGTCTCTGCCCTTCACCCTCTGCCCAACCCATCGCGTGCCTTGCCAAGGACAAAGGCAACAGACACAAACTCTGCCTCGCCATTCACTGTAGGCAGATACAGTTTTATTGAATCTGGCTCCTATTAGCTGACTGCCTTTATGCTTCCCCTGCAGCCCTTTTGTTTCCCATGGATTGATTGCACTGAAAATGGAGCCCACGCAGTCATTAATATGACTGAATACAGCACATTCCCCATGAAAATGCAGTGCGTGCTGCTTTGCAGTTTCATACAGTTACTTTTGTTGTATTGAAGAGATGCACTGCTTTAGTAGATACTGATTTACATCACATGCTTTCCTGCACAGGACTCCTTCAATGTTTGCAGAATACACTTCCACAAATTACTTCTCATTAAAATGACAGAATTTCCCCCCATGCCCGCTCACATACCCCTTAAGCCTCATTCTTTAATCGAAAGCTTTTCTTAGTCAAATTTAGTCCCGTGGATCTACTGTACCCAGGCTCAATCTGTTTATAATTTTATTTCAACACATGGAAAATATCTGCAACCTCTTAAATGATGCATTGCAAACCAGAGCTTAATCCAAGGACTCAGGAGGAACAGCCGGTCAGTTTGCAGCCACTTGCTTATTCAGATTGACAACAGAATCCCAGGTACACGCAGAGAGTTGAGGATCCTGTGCTCCTATTTATTCATGTGGTGACTCTGTGTTGTGGTACATCGGATTTGCACTGCATGTTTGTGGTCACCTATAGAGTCTCTCTGCTGTGGGCAAGAGTCATGGCTGGGGTCACCTCCCAGGGATGCTCTGCAACTCAGCACCCAAGGCCACGGCTACTTTCCATATGGAGTTTATGTCCATATGGCTTTTCTCCTCCAAAATAGGGTTAACTCAACCGTAATGTCATTGGGAATGCTGCTCCCTGTATGGTGCCCAAGGACTGACGTAAATCAGTGCTGTTCCACGAGCAAAACAGTGAAGGCAGCTGTGGGAGAGCATTTGAGCTCTAAACTCACAGTGATGCAGCCTGCTTGTGTAAAGCTGGTCTTGGTCCCAGCCTTCTCTACCCTGCTGAGACAGGACTTGGCATCCTGCTCTGAGCAGACCTGGGCACTCACAAAGCAATTTGTTTGTTTCAATCTTTATTATTATGGGATTATTATTTTTTTTTAATGGCAGCACCAGCTTTGCCCTCTTTATGGCAATTGTGAGCAGTGAACAGGAGGCAGAGTTGAAACTTCAGTCAGTAAGAGCAGAATTAGGTCTTTGTCTTAAAGAAATTTAAGACGACATTTTCTGACCATTAAGAGAGAGTAGGAGGAATTTCTCATTAGTGGAAGAGGACTGCTCCTGTCTTGCAGCTGGCACTGGCTCATAGGGCTGGACACACTGCCCCAAACAACAGCACAAGGAACCTTTTTCCCTGCTGATTTAAGTCTTGGTTCCCGGCAAAGGAAAAGTCAAAGGAGGAGTAGCCAAGTGCAGTTACTTGAAAAGCATTTAGCCCTGGGAACAGCTCAAGTGTCATGCCATGATCCTGAGAGGCATTTGCCCTGCCCAGGGGCTCAGAGCTGGGTAAAAATGAGCAAAGCAGCCGCAGCTGCATCTTCTGTATGGATGCCTGATGGGATCGCCTGCAATGTGTGCATGGCTCCATCACTTGGCCATTTCTCGGCCACCAAACTGGCTCTCCCCTGCTACACCAAGCAGCATAGGGAAAGCCCAGCACCTGGAGGAGCTGAGCTGGATCAGATAGTATAAAAGGACTCTCAAAGAGCTTATAATCCTCATTACAGGCAAAGAAGAGGTCACTCTAACTGTGTCCTAATCATTATTAAGGCTAAGTTCAAGGGTTGTGTCAGTCCTTGTCACTACAGTTTCTATATTTTTGCAATTTTTAGTTTACGGACAAAACTCGGGAGAGATGAGGAAATATTTCAGCATTAGTATTACACCTTTCCTTTACATTAACCCATTTCCCCATCAAGTTCATCAGGAAAGAGCCAAACTGACAGAACAACCCCTACTGCAGGTATGGAGAAAGGACATGATCAATCTTTTCCTGACGGGACCAATTTCTTTGCAGTACCACCAGGAAAGCAGAACATGCAGTTTCAGAGGCACACTTTGATGAAAGATGAGCACCAAACAAGAACTCCCTTGTAATTTAAGGCTCCTAAACTCATAAACACAAATCAAGAGCCAGTCTCTCTGGATTTCTGATGTTTTTGCCTAAGGCGTGAAACTTGCACCCACATATTGCAGGTCACTACCAGGTACCTGTCAAACCATCACCACAGTGGGGCTGCCTGGCAGGGAATACCCCTACATATGTTAGCCTTCAGGTAAATAAATACATGAATAAAAGAACAAATAAATGCTGGAATTAAAAAGATGTTAGTCATGTATTGATATTAATGTATTCATGTTACCTTTTTTTTCTTGTTAGTACCACCTGTGTGTACAGAATATATTCACCCCTGTGTCTCCCACTGGTATCAAGTGTTGGAACCTTTCTGCTTGTTTTAGAACCTTGAAAAACAACACCCTCTGAATTATCATTTTGACTTCTTTGCCATTTGGCAAAACACTGATGTTTTCCCTTTCTGTCTCTTTTGGAGTACAGGCTGGAATTGCTCTGGATTGTTTACTGCTTGACAGTTTAACTGCTTTTTATCAGAAGTCTTATTGATGAACTCATCAGTGATGGATTTAGGCAAAGAATCCCATCAAAGGTATCCAGAGCTTGCAGGCTTTTGCCTCCAGAAGTGCGTGAAGAAGTTCACCAGATGCTTCACTGCAGTGCAAGCCATCATCCAGCCTCCACTGGATAAGCCATCAAAGCACCACCATGTTGGGTTAGAAGAATCAGCACGGAAAGGCAGAGATGTCTCCAGAGACACACCAGTACTGTTAAAACCTGCAGATTAGGGATGCCTAATGAAAAGAGGGCTGATTTCAGACATTTGGTGCAGGAGGCATCCCCGGCCAATATGAAAAATAAATTGAATATGAGCATTACCCTACAACTGTGAACAGGTTCTGATCAGAAGGTACACGTTCACAGTTTCCTACAATATAAGTCAGAAAAACCACATAACTCAGCCAC